CGATAGTATGGATTTAACACTCGGAGGTTAAAGGTTATAAGAAATCATCCGACACAATTGATCTACAAGTAGAACAGGGATATGAGGCTTTTCTGAGGTTGAACTTTAAGTGTCTCAGCTTTATCATCCCAGCGATGGCACAATACAGCCACATTTAAATACGAGTATCGCCGTAGTCTCAAATGCTATTACAAATCTTTCCAATATATTGGCTGAGAAATGAATTACTCTTCCACAGAAAATCTGCCTTACTTTGCTTCTGTCAAGTCAGTGTTGTCGTACGGCATGGAGATACTTATTCTAAATAAGGAACAAAAACGACGGTTTAGCTGTGTACAGCGCCTGGGATTCAACGCATGACTGGGCAATAAAAATGGCAGGGTCATATAAAAAATGACTCTATTCTCTATCCGGCACAGGTGACCCTGCGGAGATTAAGAAAAGGAGGTCGACCCTGTTCAAGAACCTGGTTGAACATATCACTTACTCCAGCGAGTGAGTTTCTCGCATGGGAATTGAAACATCAAATGTCAACAAGGAGAGCAGCATGCAGCATGAAGGCACAAGAGACAGATCTGCAACCGGACAGCATTAGTTCCTTTTGCGATGCAGTAACCGGTGCTATATGACAAAAGTGCTGAAACGCTGTGAATACTGCGGATATCACAAGCCAGTGATGTTCTCCTTTTGAAAATATATAAATGAAATTATCTAAGCAAACAGTTAAAGGAAAATGGTTGATTCTGCAAATGGGGAAGGGGAAGAGTATCTGGACCAATTTGGTCTACACTTGCCGAACACTAAGAATCGCTGCGAATCTTGCGTCGGATTAAAAATTTGTCCCATCAACTTTCTGAGTTTTTGGATAGATAATAAAAGTTAATTTCACTATTGAAGCACAATGAAATTACCATATTATTGGCGTACCGACTAGATGTGGAGTGGTTTAATCTAATGGGCTCTACATGAGAGGGTTGTGCTATCACGCCGTACCTGACGATCGTACAGTCAGTTTAAATAACTTAGTATTTGATGTGATTCTGGTAAAATTGATTCTTCTTTTGACTTCTGCAGATGTCTTGCAAGACGTGGTAGTTAAAGTGTAATGGCGCGCA